CACAAGTTCACGGGCGTGATGTCCAACGTACTGTCGGGTCAAACACCAGGGCTGAGACGTCCAAGGTACTCAGCTGTACTGGTTCGCTAAACTAAACGAAGGGATTGAAGGCCATGCCGCCGGCAATACATTGTGAGGCAAACTACGTGTGACGTGAGGTGCGTCTGCGCATGGGATGGAGATTCACGTACTGAAACAAAGAGGCGCTTTTTGCTAGGAATAAACTCAAAGCTGCGCCATTGCGGACCCTGAACATCGGGCTGGATCTGAAGTGCCACCGTAGCTTTTCCATTGTCCACTCCAAAGGCGTTGGCTACCAGACCTAGGTGAGGCCCCAGGTGGCGTGTGTAAGTGAGCGAGGGGATGCACTTGCACTCTCGACAAAGTAAAACACTACTCATCGAGCCTGAGGTTTAAAGTCTGACAGGCTCGATGCTGACGGACCTTCGGGAATGTGCAACACCGAGCTCGGCTGGGAGTTGAAGGCTAAGGAAGAGAACCAGGCATTGCATTGCTGGATGAGAGGGCAGCAGGTCGACGGTGCCAGCGCGACGAGGTGGCTGAAGACACAGACAAGACTCAAAATTCTTGCCGCAAGGAGGCCCTGACCTCCAAGCTTGAACCAACTGGCTGCCGAGTTGGAAAGGGGTATCAGGAGCCGTGTGTCGTTGTACATAGAGGCCAAGTGTACGGGGATGGATGCCGTGTCTGAGATGGCCACAAACTCTATCTGTAGACGTAAAGTGGTGCCTTCAAGCTGGCTGGGGCGGGTCAGATCCAACACGATGGTATCCGTGCTCAAGTCGAGCCAAGCCCTTGAGACGCGAGGCCGAACAAAAGCAGCGCTCGGCACGTCGAGAGACTTGGTGACGTGGCGGTTAGCCACGCCTTGGCGCGACATGACCAGCTTGTCATGAAGCATTAGACAGATGGTATCCATGGGCTCGGTGCGCCACAGATAAGCAAAGGCTTCCGCTGAGTGCAACAGGAGTTGTGCGGCACGTTGCTTTGTAGGCACCAATGACCACGAGTTTGTGGCTTGCGGGGCACTTGTAGCCGTCAGGCAGCTGCGCCAAAACAGCCATCGGTGCTGCGTGAGCACCATCATGGCTGTGCCTCGCCATCATAGCATATCCGAAGACCAAGGCTGACGTCGGAAAAGGTAGCGAGGAGGGAATAAAGACGATGCAAATGCAGTTGACTTGCCTGCCGTGCTGCAAAGTGATGATCCAGTCGGATGAGTTTGGCACGACGGGCTGGGACCAGCTCAGCGTGAGCGCAAGGGTTCGTTGCAGCTCGTTCTGCTCCGCACTAAGTGTGGCGTTGAGCAGCTGTCAATGGCGTGACGAGCAACGCAGATTAGAGCCATGCAAACGGTGCGGAAAATTGATGTGGGAGAGTGGAGAAGCAGTGAGCATGCAGGTGATGGAGACACGCTTGTTTGAGCTGAAAGCCCGTATGCCACTTGCCTCAGGCAAACGGGGCTCCGGCACCACTGTAGTGGTGGCAAAGGCTTGCCAGGCTGATGGGGCAAGCCACGAGGTTACAAGAAGCCACGTGCTACTTGTCTCAAGTCCTACCCGACCAATGGCGAGCAGGGCTTGTAGCTCGTCTTGGCTTAAGGGCGTCCATAATCCCGTCGCCTCAGTTTCATCGGGTCGCCAGGTGCGTGGAGTCACGAGTTGAACGGACCGGTGGTCTGCTGCCGTGACTGGATCTTCTGACAAGCGGAAGCGAAGGCGGTTCAGCTGCTCAGCTGCCAAATCATTGGACTGGCTCGTAAGCCGCAGGCGCTGCGCGGTGAGGTCAAGCGAAATGGCACTGAGCGCGGGCAGGAGTGTAGAGGGCAACTCGCCAGCGCTGGCGTAAACAGCGGTCGGAGAAATTGAGCCCGGCAGATAGGTGGTCATGGCTCGAGCCAGTGGCGCATCGTGAGGACTGGGTGCGGCCAACAACCACAAGCCGGGCGCGCCATCGCTGAGGGAGAGCCACTGCCGGGCCTGGTTGGCAGCATCAAGGTGTAGGGCTGCCTGCCATAGCTGCGGGGTTGCTGTCAGGACGCTGGCATTGCTCTGCAGGTTGAGGCCATGTTGTATGTCACTTGTTTCAGTCGCTGCCAAAAAGAGCTGGGACCAATCGAGCGCTGCCCAGCCTGGCATAGGCTGGAGCGTCAAGACCCCGAGCTGCTCTTGATAAGAGGCTTGGACGCTAAGTGTGGACAGCTGTGGCTGAAGCAGATTCAAGGCCGCCGTCCTAGCTGCGGCTAGGAGGTTGCGACCAGTACATCGTGGGGGATGACCGAGGTGAGTCAATTACTATTTTGGCTATTCGATCAGGTACACGAGCAATGGCGTTGAAGGGCTCGAAATTAGAGCGGAGCGCTGTCGCATACCTTCAACGGCGACCGTGACATTGGCTAAACCACTGCTCAGCTTGACCAGTGGGGTGTCGACACAGTGGGCAACATCGAGCTGCTGGGAAGAGCCCAAGCTGAGTGCCTGTGCCAAGCGCTCGGGCGTTATGATGCGAAGCTGCAGTGTTGTGCTCCAGGTTATGCTTGGGGGATCTGGATTCACTGGAGCAGCCAGGGTCAGGGAGACGTGATTGAGCTGAGCAATGCAGGACGTCGCGCTCCAGTGGAGTGGTCCATTGGCGGATAGGGCGACATCGTAGCCCCCATCCATGCGCAGTATCAGTTTGGCCGTGGTATGAGCTGGCGTATCGTGCCAAGTGAGCGTGGTATTTTGCCACGTGCCAGTCGGCCAACCCAGACAGACGGTTAGATTTGTAGATGGTGCTGCAGCGGTGTCGATGAGCTGAGACCAGAGCGTGATGGTATCCCATTGCATGCGAGCCAGCAGGGTCGTTGAGTCCAGGGCGGTGGGAGCCGCCAAGTGCAGGTCATGTTGTTGCTCTGGTGGGGCCCCGGTGCCAGGGGAGGGGCAAGCCTGCAGACTCAGCAGGAGCGAAAGAGAGTCGCCCGCGCCGGCTGCAAGGACCGTTTCATCGTGCACCAGCTGCACTATACCGGCAGGCCAAGCAACATGCAGCTGAGCGGCGCACTGTATGCTGTTGTGAGTCAAGAGCACCAGCCACAGCAAAACCTGGAGACCCGCAGACTGCATGGTCTTGGTTGTGCGACACAATTGGGAAGGGGGCTTGCCAAGAAGTGTGGAGACAAGGCAGATGGGATGGCAAGCCAACCGGTATCAAGAAGTTGGATGCCTTCAGAGGTGGTCCAGCCACTCGTGGGCTGTTCAGATATTCAGGGCCTGGTTGCTGGCCGAGTTGCATGGACAAGCCATACGCAACCCACAACCTTGGAGCAAAAGGGGCTCAGTCAAGGTTGACATGTGATTTGTGCGCGGCGATTATGTTTGCATCTGGACGCTGCTTGTCGCAGCAGCAGCTCTGCGATGGACGGGACAAAAGAACCGTGCAATGGTGTTCTCGTAACGATATCCTTTTTGTTGTCGTTGTTGTTGTTGTGACTGTTGTTATTTGTGCGACAGATCCCTTCACACCATCCCAAGCCTCCATGGCACATGAAGCAAACAAGCCACCAGCGCTCTCCCACCAAGCCAGCCCGTCCCAACGCCACCAACACGCTTGCGATGCGCCAGCGCGCCGAGCGTCGCGATCGTGCTCGCGGACACGCGTTTCCATGCTGACAATTCTCGAAAGATCTTTGGCTGTTCAGAACAGGTGTTGACTACAACTTGTGAACCAAGTCAGGGGGACCAGTCTCTTGTTGCCTGGCTCGCTGTCTGGCTCGCTGGCTGGCTGGCTGGCTGGCTGGCTGGCTGTCCTGGCTGGCCCGCTGTCTGTCCTAGCTAGCTGTCTGGCTGTATACCACAGGCGTTGAAAGGTTCCAAGGATGCTATTGAGATGCTAGCGAATTTCGCAGCACAGATGACGCGGTCTATGGCGCGTTGTGTGGCGCATGTTCATTCATCAAGAGTCGATTATTCGAAAGTGTCAGGGAATAGCATGTAAATGAATAGGGTATCGGCAACGACAAAGGGGCATGAGCGTGCGGCTACCAGTTGCTCAACTCGTCGGCATCGGCGAGGTCAGCCTCTTGCTCCAGCAAGAGGAGACGGTCAAGCTCAGCATCGTCCACCAGTCCATTGGTCTGGTCTGCGTCCTCCCCTTCATCGGATTGCTTTCCAGCAACCACGGGCGGGTCATGCCGGCCGAGGGAGCCACCCACGTCGACCTGGAGCCGGAAGTTGGCCAACGAGTCGGAGCTGGCGGTGCGGGACAGGCCGCTGTCGGGTGCCGGGCGGTCTGTCTCGGGATCAGAAAGCTGGCCATCGTCATCCAAGGGCAAGGTTTGCAGGGTCATTAAATCATGAGCTGCTGCCTGGTTAGTCTCATCCCCATCAGTTGTGAGTGGGTCGGCCAGGGCACTAGATCGCTTCGGGGTAGAAGCACGCAAGGTCGAGCTTGACTCGAGGATAAAAGTGGTCTCGAGCGGATTGTCGCTCTCTATCATTGATCGTTCGTTCGCATCCGCTGCTTCGTGCTGGCGATCGTCATCACCCTTTACATTGCCCTCAGCATACGCATGAATCGTCGGTGTGGCATCACGCTGCTCTTTCGTGACAACAGCTTCGGGAGTCTGGGGTGCCGCGTTTGCGTCCGAGTCCATCGTGGCGTCGGTGTCCAGTCGTGGTTGACTCGCATCCACGACGGGGCGAATGAGGTCATCGGCCTCATCGCACACAATGGCGTCAACGGTCGTTGAAGAGATGGTGCGATTCATGCCCAGGGTAGCGTCGTCTGGCAAGGCCGACGCGTCAAAAGTGGTTGTGCTACTCTGAGCTGTGCTGTGCGTGTCCTCACGGTGCTTTGACAGCCCAGACGATGGCAACGCTGCAACATCGGTCTCGGCATCTATAACAGCCGCCGCAGACGCCTGGGATGACTGCACTGGCATGGAGGCGGAGTTGCTGTGACCTGGCTCAGGGACGGGATGCGTCGGCGCGTTGGCGGACGACGACCGAACCACTGCCGCCGTCGAGCTTCCACAACCCATGTCGGATAATCACGATCAGATGAACGTGTAAAACGAGCACAAGATGCTTGCCTCTTCCACACACCTCCTCTTGCTCAACGACCAGACATTGAGCAAACACCCATCGACCGCCACCGCCACCACCGCCCCCACAGATCCAACAAAGTCCGATATGATGATGAAGATGAATGACCCTTGACGCGACCACCTAAACACCGAACTCTCTCTCTCTCTCTCTCTCTCTCTCTCTCTCTCTCTCTCTCTCTCTCTCTCTCTCTCTCTCACTCTCGC